CACCTCTTTAACTGTTCCCAGCCTACTCCTCTAGACTCGTTGTCCCTCCCCCCAGACTCCTGAGGCACCACAGTCTCCCCTCCTCCCCAACCTCCTTCGCACTGTGTCTCCCGCCTACTGCCTCCTCACGTTCGCCTCACCCCCGATTCTGAGTCATCACCGTCGTCCCCTCCTCCCACTCCGTCTTATCACTCTACTCCCCCTGACTCCGCTACGTCGGCGTTCCACCCTCCGACTCCGGCACCAACCGTCCTCCCGGCTTCTCTCCCCAACCTCTCTATCTAGCTGTCTTCCCCTGAGCTCCTCCTACGTCTGCTTGCCCCCCCCCCCGACTCTAAGCTACCACGTCCCCCCATTCGCTCCCCACCTTTCACTTCCACTGTCTCCCCCCTAACTTCGAGCACCACCTCGTCTCCTCTTCATTCCCCCAACCTCTCACTGTTCTCCCCCTACTCCTCTACATCGCCACACCGCCCCCGACTCCGAAGCATCACCAGCCTGTTCTACCCCTGCCTTCCCCAAACCTCCTTCACTGTCCTCCTCTCCGGATCTCAGACATCCAGAGTCTCCCCTGTCCTCCTTTAACCTCCTTCACGTGTCTCCCTCTACTCTCTACGTTCGCTCCCTTTCCCCACCCCGACTCTAGCATCACTGATTTCCCCCTCCCTCCCCAACATCCTTCACATGTCCTCCCTCCTACTGCTTCTACGTCGCGCCCCCCCCCCTGCCCCACAAACGGTCCGAGCAGCCACGTCTCCTCCTCCTCCAACCTCCATCACTTGTCTCTCTCCTTACTTCCTCTACATGCGCCCCTCCCCCGAACTCCCCAGCACCATCGTCTCCCCCTTCCAGACCTCCTTCACTGTCTCCCCCTACTCCTATTGCGTCGCCCCCCCCCCCCGACTCCAGCACTCACCCCGTCTCCCCCCTTCTCCTCCCCAGGATCCTCCGTTCCCTATTGCTCTCCCTACCTCTTACGTCGGGCCCACCCCCAACTCCAGTCACCCCGTCTCCCTCCTTCTCCCATTATCCTCCTTCACGTGTCTCTCCATCCTACTCCTCCGCTACAGTCGCCCCCCCCCCCGGACTCCAGCACCTACGTCTCCCTGTCTCCCCAACCTCTCTCTGTCTCCTTTCATGCCTTTTATACATCTCCCCCGCCTCCAGCACATCGTCTCCGTCTCCAATTAGCGCCTCCTTTCCCTCTTCGTTTCTTTCCCCACATCATTCTTCCTTCCCATCTCGGTGCGCCACAGCTTCGGGCCTCTTCACCATCCATGCTCACGTTATAAGCGTTTGGCTGTGGGGGTCTAGGGGGTGTATCACCTCCCTTCGTTCGCGCCGCTTGCTGTTATTTGTTTATTTCTCGCAAGTTCTCTGTCGCTCCGATAACGCATCAATTTGTGCCTCTCATCAGGCATAGTACTCCGCTCAGCACCTTGGGGTGGGGTTGCTTGACACAATATTTCATAGTGGGACACAGGGAATGACTGCCACCTCATAGCTTTCTATACTGAAAGTAAACACACCCCTACAATCGTGTATCATTCGGACTGCCTCCCGGACTTACGACTACAGGGTTCTCACAAAAGTGTGAAATTATTTTGTTCAAAGGACAAATCTGTTGACAAGTTTTTAGTTTTAGCGTCATTGCATATATACCTTTAGATTCTATATAAAGTAAATAAAATAAAAAAATAAAAAATAAAAATTTAAAGGTGCAATAAACCATTTCTTTGACATACGGTAAGTAAAATATGACTATGGTGAGAAAACAGACTGGCTCTGCAATTTCTGCTGCTGTACGGTTTTGGGAATTAATTTCAAATCTATGTTTGGATACTTATGTTGAATACGATGCTCAAGTGATCAAAAAAAAATTTCGAGTTTCTTTCATAATATGTATGTGCAGGAGACATTTTGCATACTGCGGCATAGGTGGGGCCTGTTGTAACAAATTTCATGGGGCAGGTTGTAACATGTTACAACCTGCCCTGCAGCTGTTACAACTAACCCCGTCCTGTAAATGTTGTATTTTGCAACTATAGGGCTACTCCCCATAAATTCAAGTATATTATTTTTAATTAGACATGTAGTCTGCCTAAACATTCTAAAAAATAGTGTAGGCCTGTACATTTACCGTGGTTCCAAATAGGCCTATAGGGCGGAGTGATTCCCCACGTGCTCTTTTCAAAAGTTCCGCCTAGAAAAATCTCTACCCGAGGGAGGAAGAAACGTAAAACTGCAATATTGACTGACACACCGGAAAAGAATGCTTTTGAAGAAGAGGCAAAGGCGAGCGAGAAAAATAAACGTAAAGCAGCAGAATCAAAATCCACCAATAAATCAGATAAAACGAAACCGAAAAAAAGGCAAACGAAAAAAAAAGTGGCAACCAAGAAATCAGCAACAAAGACTGCTACAAAGGCTCAGAAACGACTCAGACATGAAGCGTCGGATGAGGAGGAAACTTTCTGCCTCGTCTGTGACGAACCATATTCCAACAGCAGGACAGGTGTAGCGCGAAATTTCCGACTTGCGAAATATCTGAGATAGCCCCGCCCCGCTCCTCTGCGCACGCGCACTTCAATAATCACAGTTCGCCTTTGTGTGCGAAATTTCTGACCTGCAAAATATATGATATAGGATGCGTATGCGCATGCACACTTCGCATATATGCTCAAATATGGCGATTTCCACTTCAGCTAAGACACCAGCTGGTGGAGAAGGAGGAAGGGAGAAGCTGGTGGAGGAGGAAGGGGAGAAGGAGGAGGGGGAGAAGCTGGTGAAGAATGAGGAAGGGGAGAAGGGAGAAGCTGGTGGAAAAAGAGAAAGGGGAGAAGAAGGAGGGAGAGAAGCTGGTGGAGAATGAGAAAGGGGAGAAGGGAGAAGCTGGTGGAGAAGGAGGAAGGGGAGAAGCTGGTGGAGAATGAGAAAGGGGAGAAGGGAGAAGCTGGTGGAGAAGGAGGAAGGGGAAAAGGGAGAAGGTGGTGGAGAAGGAGGAGGGGAGAAGCTGGTGGAGAAGGAGGAGGGGAGAAGCTGGTGATAAAGGAGGAAGGGAAAAAGGGAGAAGCTGGTGGAGAAGGAGGAGGGGGAGAAGCTGGTGGAGAAGGAGGGGGAGAAGGGAGCTGGTGGAGGAGGAGGGGAGAAGCTGGTGGAGAGGGAGAATGAGGAAGGGGAGAAAGGAGAAGCTGGTGGAGAAGGAAGGGGATAAGGGAGAATCTGCCAACCCAGCCCCCCTGTACATCAATGAAATGCTGCCGAGTATGAATAGGTCATAGGTTTACTCTGATGATTAAGTCTGAGGTGGGCCCTTCATTTGGTTTTAGGTAGGCAAGCTTAGCCTGCTATTGTTGGATTGACGTTTGAACAATAAGAGCTAGTCTGGGGAAGACGGTGAAGTTTTGTTTTAGAGCAAAGGAGGACAGAGTTTGTTGTTCTCAGATCAAAGTTTAATTGAGTTCTACACGTTTGAACAATACAGTTAGTCTGGAGAAGACAGTGAAGTCTTGTTTTAGAACAAAGGAGGACAGTAATTTGTTGTTCTCAGATCGAAGTTTATAATTTAATAACGGAAGCAGTTGTTTAAAAGTTACCTCATTGTGTTTCTTAGCCCTTGATTCTTTGCTGTTCATAAACTTTCAAAAACATTGGGTAGGTTAAAAAGGGTATTTTTAAACTTAAAAACGTGCATTCTTGCATGAATTTGAAGTACTTCAAAGTTAGTAAACAAAGAATTTTCCTACCCAAATAATGTTATTTGCCTACATGTTTGGGTATAGGTAGGGTAACTGCCAACGAACAATCATTAGGGGCTGTATTGTACGTAGTTAGTATGTTATGCTTTACTTTCTGTATTCGTTTACGAACACGTGATCTATGACACTATTGTATGGCGTTCCAAAATTGCCATCGCGCGCGCGCTTCCTCAACCACGACGTCGCCCTTGTCAAACACGACGTCGCGCATTTTCAAACGCGACGTCGCCATGGCATGGCATGGATGGCATGGGATGCGGTGCGATGGGATGGCATGGCATGGCATGGCATTGGATGTGATGAGATGGCATGCGATGGGATGGGATGGGATATGGGATGGGATGCGGTGCGATGGGATGGGATGGGATGGGATGGCATGGCATGGCATGGCATGCCCTGGGATTCGATGAGATGGCATGCGATGGGATGGGATGGGATATGGGATGGGATGCGGTGCGATGGGATGGGATGGGATGGCATGGAATGGGATGGATGGATGCATGGATAGATAGATAGTTTGCTTTTGGCTATTTTCCTTTCAACCAAGCGGTCACCAACTGAGTAACGCCACTGATTTCCCCGGGCAATGCCGGGTATCCCGCTAGTGTATATATATGTGTGTGTGTGTGTGCGTGTGTGCGTGTGTGTGTGTGCGTGCATGCATAGACATGCCCACACACGCATACGTACACACACATGCACCTAGGTGTAGAGACACAGATGCCACATACACGTGCACATACACACGTACATATATGCTCACTGTGTTTTCCTCTGTTACATGTTGGCCCACCTTTTATCCAGAAATTCACAATTTCAGTACTATTGACGTTATATTGTATGATATCAGATGAATTTCCTGGCTATGCTATTTTACATTTATGTCAAGTTATATGTCTAAGCAACAGCCCTCTTTTTAAAGACAAGACAGTAAGAGGTGCTACCGAAATGGTTCAAAATTTATGCAGATGTGCTAAATGTAGTTTTAAAATTTTAAAATAGCCCTTTAAAAAAGGCTTCAAAACAGTCCCTTACGTACAAAATTTGGTACCCGGTCCTTTTTCACTGTAAATCTATTATTATCTACTTCAGAAGTTATCATTTTATAGATAGGCCCTATGCTGTGAACAAAAGAGTTTGTTTACTTACTCATTTGTATATATTTTGCACTATAATATTTTCTTTAAAATTTCACCTGGTTGATTTATCATGATTTAAGGGCGTGAGTTTATTATCTTACAGGGCACGGAAGTTACTTTGCTCGGGATGCTAGCTACTGTCGGACTTACTGCGGCCCTGATCCATGGGGAATTCAATATATGTTCGTGGCAACAGTTGTAGTTGGAGATTATGTGGAAGGTAAAAATTCTGGGAGATGTGAAGTGCGCACGAGACGAAAAGGAGTAATATATTGAGATAGGGAGCGGAGGATGAGGAGGAGGAGGAGGAGTGTAATGTTTTGCTGTAGTTTCCAGCGGTCAGAAAAAAATGCCATAAGAGTAATGAACTTTTCTTAAATATAGGAAAGCGTGATTACAGGCGGCCACCTAGCAAGATACCAGGAATAGAGAGACCAGTGAGACCCTGCGATTTTTACTGCAGTTGTGTAAACAAGCGAGACAACCCCACTGTCTTCGTTATCTTTGATACTGCTCAAGCCTACCCCCAGTATGTAATTAACTATAGCTAGGTATATTGACAACAGCTGGCGACACGTGCACCATTGTTAGACAACATTTCATGGACATCGATCATCCATGCGCATTCTAAGCAAATAATAAGCAGAACGTAATACAGATTGCTAAGCAAATGATGCTTTGATGTTTGTTGAGTAGAGGCTGGCAGTCAACTAATAATGCTAGTCAGTTGGGTCAACGTTCTATTGATTTCAAATGTTCTTTGTGAATTATGGTAAATATTTGCGGTGTGTAGTGTGTTAGTCACATCTGTAATTATGCAAATAGTCAAATACTCAGAGTCAGATGTTAAATTATGTTTGTATGTGGTTAAATTAGATTATATAAATTTCACATAATGTATATATGAGCTCTATCTATGATATATGTATATCTGTGATAGTCTCACTTATTAAACTTGCTCTCACCTGGGATAAACGATGTAAGCAAGGGCAAAGGTAATGACTTCTTGCTTCTTGCGCGTATTAATCATGGCTGTTAAATGCTGTCTGAATATCTTGTATGGTGACGTTCTCCGTGCCTGCGTCCATCTGAACACATCTTGGGACTCCTGAAAAATCATTATGTGTGTATGTATGTATGTATAGCCATAATAAATGTGCATGTATATGCTTTTAAAATTATTGTGTACCTTGTATTTTCTTCACGTAGTCAATGAAGTAGGAAGCTACAACAGCAGGGTCATTATTTGTATTGGCAACTCGCAACCAAAGAATCCGTCTGGAGTATCTGGGAAAATAGAGAAGCAAATAATCACAGTATGCAAGAAGGCAGCATATTCTTGCAAAAATCTAACCTAGTGTAATATATTCTGTTAGTGTAGTGTACCTCACTTATGAACAACAGAATTTATGTTGTCCAATTGTTGCACAGCACTTACCCATCCATACATCCATGGATAGCAAAGCCATAGGGCTTCAATTTGTCATATCCATCCAGGTGAATTAGAAAATTAGGCCCAGCGTTACGGTAGACTCGTCTGCTTAATTTGTGCTCCTTACGAAGCTTCACCCCTGCAGGATCCAGCTCGTTTTGTATTTGAAGAACCATGGCTCTGCAGTGAACAACATAGTAAGCCAGTTGTAGAAGAAAACGTGAAGCGGTAAGACATCTAACTGTGTTAAGCGGATGACGATACCAGAGCTATTTTATTACTTACACCATCTCGCGTTAACATTAAGCATTCTCATTGATTACAAATTATCGCATTTGTGATTTGCGCTGGTAGACGTACTGTTTCTTTCTTCCAAATCAAAAGCGTTTCACGCTTCAAAAGCTGTTCGCAAACGGCAAAGATATGTATTTTCCGTTTTTCTCAATGCAAGTTTTAAGTTTACATTTGTAGCAGCATATCATCTAACAGAAGCGATAATATGTGACTGTATAAGAAATGATCTTATTTATGGCGTTAGGCGAGAGATTATGCTTTAAATAAAGGCATATAGGGAAACACATGCACAACATACCTGGATGCTCTCAAATGATATTTGGACATGAGCCTTTTTGCCATGCTGCGACATCCGAGATATGCACCACTACCGGAAATCTCATACTGGAAACGTAGTACAATAGCAGATAACATATCGACATATTTTTTTCATACGCGCATATATTGCTTATAACATGCACTAGGAAAGGGGCGTATAAGTGTTAAGTCTTAGTCAGCTTTTAATATATAAAAATACAGTGGTAGATTACTCGTATCCAGGGTTTAAAAATGGGCATCTTATCATCTTCAACTAATGTAACCATTCTATTGCATGTGCATGTCCTGCCTGTACGACAAAACTATCAATCAGACATAATATTATTGGCATGTTTAATTGCAATGCTTGATAGTAGGATACGGTTTAAATGGTTTTCGTATTTTTCATTGCTTTCATTGCAATTATGCGTGCAATTATACCAGCCTACCTGAATAGCAGCGGCCACCTGAGTGGGGGGAGCATGTCGCTGAATATTAAGTTGTCTCATGATTCGATTTAGGTGCCGAATACTATATAAAATACGCAAAAATGTTATGCCAGAAGTTGCCTAAAGCTAGAGCAAGAATGTTTGTTACATCACATATATATTGCAAGTAGAATTATTTGGATGCAAATTCCTATACTAATATCATTCTATCGGTACTAGTTCTTCTGCCTTTGTAATGCATCAACGGTAAATGGCATATAGTAAAACTAATTACAAGTATAGTTACGATCAAAATGTCAGGTGTAAGAATAGTGTCTATATTATGGTTAATGTTGTGAAGATTAAAAATTATCAACAACTCCATTTGAAAGACGCTAATGAAATGCACATAAACAACTTATACTAGAAAATACCACCAGAACAGAGTTTTAGAGTGTGTTACAGACAGCATAATTTTCAGACAGAATTGCATTCTGTATAAAGTAATATGATTTGATCTGCCCCATATACAATACCTTAATGTAATTCGATGCTTTGTATAAATTATTCTGACGTTCATTGACAGACAGACATTACATTAATTATATGGTGTGTCGGTGTAACATAAATGTTAACATTCGTATAACATTCGTATAACATATAACATGCAAATATGAGAGAGGTAGATTGGTCAATGCATCTCTGGTACCACTATATTTTATACGTGAAGTAATGACATACATGTGACTTTTTAAATATGACTTTAAGCTCTAACCCTTACCCTATATTATGTATGAAAAATTTACAAGAGCGTTTCTGTTCTAGAAGTAATGATGCCGATCTACGGGTTGTATATGAATTAAAAACCCGTATATCGATCTTGGAAATCACGAAATTGAATACGCGATACGTTGTTTTTCAGGAAACCCACTCTCGTCACCAGTTGTGCAAAAACTTACAGAATTACATCAAAGGAGAAAGTCTCGTCGGCCGGGAAGGCCTGCTTCTGAGCAGAACACTTTCCGATTTTACGTTGGCTGGAAGCACTTCCGTGCTTCAAAAGGATTTAAATTGATTACAGTTAATTGTGGAGGGGGAACTCACCAAATTGATATAGATAAAGATGCCACCCTTCCCCAGGTCATTGATCATCTAGCCAGTATTTTTTTCCCTGCCGGAAAAAATGAAATTCAGGGCATACAGCTAGGTGACGTGACCACCACATTGTGCACTTTTTCGGGGTGCCAAGTAGAGGATAGGCTCCCAAACGGCGCAATATTCACGGCTGGTGAATATTATAAGGTTATCCAAACGCACCCTGTGCGCATCTACCTGCACACAACTCTCAAAGAACAGGTACTTTTATACAAAATACTATTTGAGAGATAATGTCAAAACTCTGATTGGGTATCTTTTAAAGATATGTTTTACAATACGAATTGTCACGGTTATCGTTTGTTTATTATTATTTACATACCTCTTTGGAAACTTGTTTTATTGAATAACTATATAAAGTCTATTTAAACCGTAAATAATCAGAACAATTCCGTTATTATCTTACATTAGACGTAATTTGTTTAAAGTTTGAAGGTTTTCCTTTAAAGGTATGTCAAGATGCAGTACCAAAATAGCTGCTTGAGCAGTGAGCAGAATTTTAAACTACTTCATTTCTAGAAAGCTGTGAAATTGCTACATTATACATGAAATACATTATAGATTATACATGAAATTGCTATATTATACAGAATATGTATTTTTGATGAATTTTACAGAATTCTGGCCCTTCAGAGACAGTGCATGACAACGTGCTTGATGACAGTTCAGAGGTAATATTCATTGCCTCGTTAGGTCCACCACGTGTACCTCATGTGATAAAGATAGGTGGCGGGTAAATCGTTTCTTGGCTTCTTGGCTATATTATTGTGTATAAACTTGAATTGTTTAAAGGGGTATATTAACTATCCAAACATATACAATTGGATGCGCGCTCTAAAAGTCCATGTTATCGCTACACATTTTTTGTAGAGACATTGTACGTTTGTACTTGCCTATATATGTGTGATGGTTAAAGAAATGCTCAGGAATACGTTCATTCAAAGCTTTTAGACTACAAAGTGAAAGTGTCGGGTGGAAA